TATTAGGATTATATATATATATATATATATATATATATATATATATATATATATATATATATATATATATATATATATATATATATATATAGCTTTAAAATTAAATAATATTTATTCCAATAAAAACATACATATGTTTCGCAGAAAAAAGTATTAAAGTATTTTATCTAGCTCTGCCAGAACAATAAAATCAGTAATCAAAGTATAGAACTTTAATTATTGAGTACTATTTACAACAGTTTCGCATTGCATGCTTTTTGAAAGTTTGTTTAAACCTGGCTCATAACTTATTTTTAGTTTCAAGCACACCTCTAGATTTGTATTTGTTAGTTGGCTTCTATACTTTGTTGTCTATTCATGCAAGAAAATGCTTGCTCGCATGAATATGTTGACCCGAAGATCGTCAGCACTCCAAATGTGTTGAGATAATCTACTATGAACGTCAGAGTACTTTCATTTCTTTTGAATTGCTCAAATCTCTCAGTGAAGCCATCTTTTATTTTGTTTTTAGTAATGCTGTGGTAATTCATGTTAATAGTAGCGTTGGTTTTATCATGATACTTTTTTCAGATTTTTCGAAATAAAGTAATTTACTGCTCTCTGTGTCTTTAACAATACGAAGTATTTTTTTTTCCTAACAATCGTCTTCTTCAAGTAAGGCATGGGCTGCGTTTTCCTTTCCTTGCAGTTTTACATTTGGCTCGTTTAGTTTCTTTGTGATTTCCACCATGAGGTTGAATGTTGCAGTTTGGAATAGACAAGTTAATAGGAAGTACAATGAAATAGGGCGTAACTAAATATTCTAATAGAATAGCGAGTGTTTATTGTTTATGTCTATTATTTTATCGTGCATTACCGATTGATGCAGAACAACATTAGTGTGAGTTTTGAAAATAAAATAATTATTAATATTTGTGCTTGGACCTGAAGAGCTGCATATCAACACCAAAAGAACCACATAAGGCTCGCGAGCCGCAGGTCGCCGACCCCTGATCTAGGCACTTCTGATTAGCTATAAAATTAATATGATAGTAGAGAGTCCGTGTAATTAAGAAACTGCAGTTACGGGAATAGGCCCATTTTTTTTAAAATTAAATTATGTCCGTCATTAGCCAATTCCATAGCTAATCAAAGATTTATATAAAATAATTAAGGCCTGAAATAATTTAGTAAATAAAATCATTATTGGCATAGATTCTAGATCTAAAAAGGCTAGATCTAAACAGAGGCGTAGCGACCCTTCCCGGCGCCCGGGGACAAACTTTCGATTTGCACCCCCCCCCCTCGAACTTTTCATTTGCACCCCCCCCCCCCTCAAACTTTCAATTTGGCGCCCCCCCCCTAAGGTCGGCGCCCGGGGACATATGTCCCCCCGCCCCCCCCCTCGCTACGCCTCTGGATCTAAATCTAGCTTAAGTCTAGTTTTTCCGTAGATCTAGATATTCTAGATCTAAATTCTAGAATTTAGATCTAGATAGATCCATTGCATCCTCGAATTAGAAGATCTGTGCTATTTACGGAATAAATTAGTATTAGTGTTTTTATTGTGTGTTATTTATTTTTGTAGGTTATTATTTTTAACAAATTATGTTTGGTTCGGCCTTAAAGTTTGTTTTTCGGTATGAGTTGCCTTTTATTCCTATACGTTTCAAGGGACGTCACTGTAAGTCACTGTATTTTTCGATAAAGATAAATACGTTCTTTACAGAGTGTTTTTTTCTATTCATTGGTTTATGGAGTCTCGAAATTCAAATCTTCTGAATGTTAGATGTCTCCGTCTTTCTGTCAATGTTTTCTTAATAATAGATTTGACGTACTTCATACAAACGGTGCATACATCTCAAAAGCTATCTCATTTTAAGTATATGCCAGTATGTTAGAAGGTCAATAAAACCTATCGTCACTCAATGTATATGCAATAATGCTGTGTCGAAAATTCTAATTTAAATGACAAACAAAAACACATTTTCTAAAGTTAGAGTACTACTACTGATTCAGTAATCTTTATCGAATGACGTGAGCCATTATCTGAATTATAGTAATTTTTATAATTTATTAAACATATATTTAAAGCAGAGATTTTCAGACTAATAGCAAATAACTCTTGTAATTTCAAATGTTAGATTGATATCATATGATTATCTAGAGGAAAGTCTTTTTGGAGTTATTTATTTTTCTTCACATTTTATACATTGTAAGTACTTTTTTCTTTTTATTTCTTGTGTGTGTTGCCTGGCCCCGGATGGGCCTCACGCACAACTATGTCGGAAAAATACATCAAACGGCTATTCCTGCCTAAGTTCGGCATGGCAGGACATGCGCCAAAAACTCTAGAGATTTTCATAGAAGAGGGTTTTTCTTTAGCTACCCTCACAGCTGACGAACTAAAAAGAGAGCTATGTATGTTATGTAGCCTATCACCAGCTGAATTTGAAGGTCTGTATAACTACGGGACACTGCGTAAATGGTATGTCACCATTAGATCAAAGGAACTATATGAGAAAATGCACCTAAAAGAATTTCACAGAGATTTACCACCTGGGGTAACATCCAGATACAGAGTGCAGAGAATATCAATAACCCACGCCGATAAATCTGGGCAAAGGGGCATGCTGAAATGGCTCCCTTCCAAGACAAGCGACGATGATATAATGGCGATTCTGAAATCTATAAGCAGTCAGGACTCAACACCAACATTTAAGAGAATAGACCAATCAAATGTTGTCCAATTCACCATCTCTCTGGAGAAAGAAGATGTGGAGAGTGTCCCACATTATATTATACTTACAAATGAGGCCAACAAGGAGAGCAGAGTCCTTATAATCCTCAATGGGAGGAGGGTGCAATGTTGCCACTGCAACACAGACAGGCACCTGCCTAAAATGTGTGAGCATTTGAGGACTCGCGCTCTTGACGGCGTCCAGCTAGTAGACGGACAGTACAGGGCAATTGAGCCTTGGGATGCAAATGATAAAGAAGAAGTTAGGGAGCATCTAAGTAACAATAGAAATTTCTTAAAGCATTGGGACAGTTATGATGTTGACGGAGAAAGACAAAATGAAATGCTTAGAGAAGCAAGGCATAGAGAGGTAGAAGATGCCTTTGGAGTAGATGGCCAAACTGAAGCACATCATACTACTGCAGCATCACAGCAAGTTAACGAAAGCGTAACAGAAACTACCAAAGAGGCCGAAGCCATGGAGACAATAGCGATCAGAAATTCCATAGTAACAGGGTCTCAAAAAGATGGGAATCAAGAAAATTTGGAGGCTGTCGACGAAACAATAAATGATATTCTTCAAGATAACACTAGTTCAGAAAACATAACGAAACCGCTAAAGGAAATTAAAAGCTCACAAAGTATATCAGCAACAAAGGTATCAGGTCAACTGTCATATAGTCAAGCAATCAGTTCAAGTAAAAAACAATTATCTACAGTAAAGCCACCTCAAAGGTTCGTGACCTGGGCCCAAAGGAATAGCAAACCAACGGCTAGAAAGTTTTGGAATGATAGATCAGTATGTGTACTACAGAGACACTTCTCCCACGGTCGTTTCTATTTCTGTCCATGTGTGGCTACAATGTGAACTTTTGACGCCTCAGCTAAGGACAAAGCACAGTAAACTAAGCAGTCAAGAGAAACCTAGTTTGCACACCTTATTTTAGTCTAGTTCTTATGCCATTTTATTTTCTCCATTTGATTATTATATATGCAATTGCTGTTCATGTCTTTGATGCTGTGTAAAATCTATCAAATAAATAATAATTACTGATTTAAATGTTTAAAACAATTGAATTAATAAAAAAATAAAAAGGAAAAAAAAACTAATTGAGGACTGTATAGATATAGATGTTTGAAAGGGAATAGTGTTTGTCTTTACGTGTCTCATTGTAATAACATTGCTTTTCCGATTGCTTAAAATTTGTATCATTTTAATTCTCTGTAATCCCAAATTCATTTCAGCTCTACTTTAAAAAAAAAAAATTCCCCCTCTCCCCCCCCCCCTCGTCCCCTCAGCCCACCACGCCGAGAGAAAAAAAATCCCTTGAATCATCATTTAATTACACATTTGCATTTTCAGTTTCAGGTTGGTTTTTAATTTTAATTTTTTCTTTATATTTAGACGTTTTGTATTAGATATATGTATAAGTAAACCATCTTAAATGAATGAAAGCAGGCTACAAGTAAGAAAGAAATATTACTATTGTAAATCTGTATCAGTCCTCACAAGCCGATGATGAAAACTGTAATACTAAAGCGAACACACAACTGACGCTATAAATTACGTGTCTGAGGCAAAAAAAAAAAAAAAAGTCGAAAACCCTACACTTAAGGAAACGGATATGACAAGTTTACTGTGTTAAGTGTACAGACGGCTAACGTCCAAACGATCTCATTGATGTGTAGGATGTCATACATAGGATGATATGTGTTTTTATTTCTGGTGTGTTTGGCTGTGTAGCCTCAGTCTGAATGTTGATATTACAGTCTTTAAATTATATTAGTGGTGTTGGTTATCCGAATGTTGATAACACATTCATTAAAAAAATATTATCTTTGTTAGTTTGATAGTGGATTTACCCAACATTCGATATTGCAGTAGTTCTCTATAGGTTGATAGTTGGCTTAACTAAATGTTTCTGGTGGATTTATGCAACTGTTTATAGTTTGTGCACATTGTTGTTGATAATGAAGTACTTACGTAACTGATGATAATGAAGTACTTACTTAACTGTCCACCTAGCTATTGATAGTGAAGCTTGTAAAGAATTGTTAATAGTGGATTCTCTATTCTCTTAGTGTTTATTGTCAATTAATTACCCAATTAAAGATATTTCGAAACGAAATATTTTTTTAAAAATAATGTAAAATAAAAAACGAGCTATTATTTCATACATTGAACATAATTTAAAAAAAAAAACCAGCGTATCCAATACCTATTTATCTTATTCTTATCTAATTGCTTATCATATGAACTAACGAAAGTTAAAACGTTTTCAAGCAACTATTTCATGAAATGGATATTAAAATTTACGTTTGTTTTCTTCTGTCATCTGTGTTTTGCATATCAGGTAATGAAGAGTCTATACATTACGATAGAATCATAAACTGATAGGTAGACATACAGACGGACATAAATACACACTCACAGACATACAGACGGACATAAATAAACACACACAGACATACAGACGGACATAAATACACGCACATAGACATACAGACGGACATAAATACACACACAGAGGCATACAGACGGACATAAATACACACACACAGATATACAGACGGAAATAAATACACATACACAGACATACAGACGGACATTAATAAACACACACAGAGACGCGAAAACGGACATAAATACACACACATAGACACGAAGACGGACATAAATACACACGCATAGACACGCAGACGGACCTAAATACACACACATAGACACACAGACAGATAGACATATTGACAGAGACACACACACACAGTCACTTAGGCGCAAAAAGAGACAAACCAATAAAATGGAATTTGTATTGCCTTTTTTGACTCCCCAGAATCATCATTTTGTTCTCCTGATATGGAGTATCACGACCACACCCGGACGTGTCTAAAGCTGTTTGAGAGAAGAGAATACTATGTGCAGGCCAAATCTTTCTGTCAAAGAAACGTTTCGGGGGGAAAAGATAACTCCAAGAGAGGATATCTTGTGAGGATCTACGATAATACGACAGACAACTTTGTAAAAGGTAGTGTGAGGTTGGGGAAAAAAGCAGTACCACCAAATGTGAGGGTGGGGGTGAATTAAGATGAAAAGAAGATCCAACCCTCCTGGTTGTAGATTTGAAGTCACCACACACAAGTCCAATTCAAGATATGATGTTTTTTATTCCCACGTTTTCTTTAACTTGCTTTCGTCTCTGTTTGTCTTTCCAATCAAATCTTGCGATCGAAATTTCTGGCACTTCCCAGTTAGCTAGCGCGCTGAAATTTTCAGGGAAGCTTTGTTTTTTAGATAAATAAACTTCCTACTTCTATCTAACTAATCTATACTATATACTATCTACTCACACTAGCTAACTACACACGTATAACTACACCCTCTTATTCTCTTATCTCCTACCGTCTCTACCACACTATCTACCTCTATCTTTCTACATCTATCTGACAGTTCTCTTGCGTTACCTATCTCTGTCTGCCACTGATCTAACTACCGACCCACGCTTCGGTGGTCAGCTGACCGTCCCACGTGACCGGTCAGCTCAAGCATTTCTATTGGTCTGTTTAACTAACTAAGGTATAGTCTGTTTCTACCATCACAGGTAGGTAACTCCAAGTCCTTATATCTTGTAAGAATTTACGACAGTACGACAGATTATTTTGTTAAAGGTAGGTAACTTAAAAACAGGTTATCTTGTGAGAATGTATGACAGTTTGACGGACACCGTTTTAAAAGGTAGGTAACTCTAAGTCATTATTTCTTGGTGTCACCCCCCCCCCCCCCCGAGGCGTAGCGACCCTTCCCGGGAACAAACTTTTAAGTTTTCGATTTGCACACCCCCCCCCCCCTCAAACTTTCGATTTGCACCCCCTCATGTTTCCAATTTGCACCCCCCCCCTCAAACTTTCGATTTGCACCCACCCCCCCTCAAGTTTTTCTCTATATATTTTGCTATTTTTTGCCTTGGTGTCACCCCCCTAACTGATGTCACCCGCGCGTTCCGCACCCCCCCCCCCCCCTTCGCTACGCCCCTGTTTCTTGTGAGAATTTACGACTGTGTGGCAGACAACTTTTGATACGTAAAAGACCTTATGGTAGACACCTTTATTGACGGTAGGTAACTCAAAGAACGATATCGTGTGCAAAACTACGACAGTGTGACAGGTTTTTTATGCTAAAGGTAGATACTCATACACAAATTTAGATTATTGTTAGAGCTCACGAATTCTAGCTTGGTAGCCTGCTAACTTAGTAATTGAAAAGTTAGGAACAACTAAGGCGGCTTATCATAGTACTGTCAGTATCATATATTTCTATGCAGGGGTAATTAAATCAGAATCTTCTGCCAAATGCGTCTTGGGTAAGTACGGGTGAGTATAATGTGAAAAAAATTATTTCAACAATTATTTTTAATATCGAATTTTAAAAAAATAACTTATTTGTATTGTTATATTTTTTATAACATATTGATGTGTGGAATCTCGAACTGTTAGAGTAATATATAATGTGTAAATTGTGTATTTTATACATCCATAGTTATGTATTTATAAGGAATAATTATGTAGTACCCTGTTGCGTAAACTACCTTTGATTTTATATCACTTATATGTAAAAACATACTAACAAATCAACTGTAAGCCTGTGACATTTAAGTAACCTAAAACATTTGCGTCACATTTCAGGGGCCTCACAATTTAGGCGTGACACCATGACGAAAGCTCGTAAAATTTACTGTCATAATCATGTTTTATTTAGTTAAATTAATAAAAATATTAAGGAGAGGGGGTAACCCACCAATGCAAAATTGTTAGACGTGGTGGGGGTAACACTCACTAAACGCACCGGGTGATATCGAACCTTGTGATGCCACTAACCAAATACACATTTTAAAAAGTTGCTCATGATTTATTTAGATTAGTTTTTTTTTCTTTCTTATAAGTTTTCAAAGTGATCAATATGTTCCGTGAAGTTAGCTGCTTCTGTATGTTCGATACTTAGGATGGCCAAGTTACTGACCCAAAGGGCATATCAAAGGGCATATCAACAACTTGTTTCATAACATCATCATAATGGCGAGATTTGAGGCTCCAAATGTATACTACTGCCGATGCGGCTGGAGGATACCCCTTATTTTTCTTAGCCATTGATTATAGCAGCCTATAGAGTCAATCTTCATTTTTATTTATAGGCTAATTCTCTCAACAGCTTGCCCGACGATGCAACAATGCCAGTAAGAAAGGTTTGGGTTTCCGTAATGGATATTTTTTATTACATCTTCAGTAGAAAAGAAACTGGATTTTCGTTTTTTTTTTAAATGTGTAATACAAATATGAAAATTCCAATGTAAAAGTTTTAAAAAGTTAAAAAGGGAAATTGGCCCCTATTTGCCTTGGGTCCCTATGCCTTGCATACGCTAGCTTTACCTGTAGCTACGCCACTGCATCTGACTACAACTACTCTCATATTACTTTAATTCACTTAGCCTTACTTAATCTAACGTTACTAGGATTTATCTAACCTATTCTAGCCCAACCTTACCTTACCTAAACTCCAATATTAATATAGCTCATTGTATTGTTTGAGTTTTGATACCAAAACATATTATACTAAATTGTTTTTTTTAGTTAATGGGGTGAGCTAATTAAAAAAAAACACATCCAAACATAATGTAGTTTCCCTAATTTTATTTTTTTTTCGTGTAGAAAGACGATTTTTTTCTTTTCCGAATAAATGTCATAAAGACCTTTCAATATAAAGCAAGTCGATATCACCGTGAAACTTTTACTATAATTTACACTACTAAAACATAATTTTAAAAAAAAAGTATTGCTAAGATGTAAACGAACAAGACAAATCTAAACGAATAAAAGCTAGCCGAAAATTGTTTTCGTTGAGGATGTAAATTCTTAGAAGTGTGCTACTTGTCAAGCTGAAAAACATCTTAAGATGTGACATAGATACTGTTATCACCCGCTGACGATTTAAAGTGGGATAAGCGAAATCCAGCGTCGACCAACCCAGATGTTTAGACAAAATAATGTATGTCGGTCTTCGTGATGACTAACTTACATCTGTGTTTTGTTGTTCCTTGTGAGACATCTCATTTTTAGATCCTCTAAGCATCTGCACTTGCCCACAGGTAATCCATTGATACAGAAAGGTTTAAACAGTAGACCTAATTTAACAAAAAAAGTTTCAATTTACACCTTGTTAACTCCCTCCCCCCAACAAAAAAGCTTCAATTTACACATTGTGAATACCCCCTCCCCCCTCCCCCCAACAAAAAATGTTTCAATTTACACCCTGTTTACTTCTCCTACACAAACATTATAGTTCCTAATAAATACAAAATACTAGTTACCTCAAATATCAATACAACATATAGAAACAAACTACACTGATTGAACTCATAATATCATTGTTTTCATCCTGTTAGCTCTCGAGGGCTTTAATCGTTCGACTACGCCACAGAAGGGCTACCTACACCTTACAAGCTGTGTTGACAAAACTCCCATATGAACATACACACAACTAACCGGTTTAACCCATACAGTGTGTACTTATAAAGTATAAATTCTACTTTATAAGTACACATGGTATGGGTTAAAGTATATATTCTACTTTAGATGTAGGGATCCATTGGGCAGAAGAAGTCAAGTCCATGTGTGTCTTGACCTCGGTATTCTAAGGAGATGATATGGTCAGTACTATGCCCAACCGCCTTTATTTACCCAATGTAGGTCACTTACCCATCAGAGCTGGGTGGACTAAGGGGCGTCCTACAGGCCACAAGTCCAAACAGAGATTCGAACCCAAGATCTTTAGTCTTTAAGCCAAGCATTCTATGTTTTGACCACGCCGTCATACAATGCTTATTAATTAACTGTAACATTATTGTTTTAATTTAGATTATCTAAGAAGGAACGGCGTGAATACAGCTTTGATAGGACTGAACGACCGTGCGATACAAGGCGTCTTTCGATGGGACGATATTGAAGAGGTTATAACGTTTTATTTAAAATTATTACCAAGATGGAAAAACAAGTATTAGTATTTTGCTAGTAACTTTTAATGTTAGTCCCATGACCTTTTTAGATAAAGATTTAGATCTAATTCCGAAAGTGTCTTTGTTCTTTTTTTATTATGTGACATGGAACAACCAAGACAAATAACAGAGCTCATAACAAAACCTTTGTGTTGTCGGCCTTTTGGCTGTCGGTATTTTGTTTGTCAATAACTGACTATGATATTTCGCTCACTATTGACCAATAAAAATGTCAGCCTTTAGTCTACGATGAACTCTTGTCCAGATACTTATTTTGGTTTATTTTTTATGCAAAAAGCAACGCAGGTTAGTATTTAGTTTGCTGAATGTTAGCCAAAGTTAAAAAAATCGTTGTGCATGTATTTTAATGATGTCAATAATGGGTTTCCATTCCAAGACCTTAATATTATCAGCGCATACAAATTAATATTTTTCCAAACCCTAAATCTAAGGTATTACTCTATAAAAATAATTTTGTGTCGTCGACTAACTCGCCGCTTTTAAAAAATGCTGGGTACTCATTAAAACTACATAGCCGCATGTTGAATTTTCGGCGTGCAAGCTTTTGATCCCTAATTCCCATCCAGCTTTATAATGTGTGCAGTCACTAGTAGAGAAAAATTAATTAGCATACAATTATTAACCGGTGTTTTTCTTTTCTTGTTTTTGTCAGGAAGTGACGTATTTTGGATGGGCCAGAATACCTTTCACACAAAACTCTTCAATGAATAGCGTAGTTATAGAGAGCGATGGTTGGAGAGAACATAGTGGCCAGCAGGAGCGGTTTATTTGTCAAGTCGAAGCGGGTAAACACTAATTAATTAATTAAAATATAATTATACGTGTGAATAAAGTGTTAGTGTTTTTGTCAGGGAAGGCACTAGGTGGAAAGTTATCCACTTTGATAGCACAGGGTGTCACCTACTGCCCCAGTGTGTCACCCACTTCAATAGCACAGGGTGTCACCTACTGCCCCAGTGTGTCACCCACTTCAATAGCACAGGGTGTCACCTACTGCCCCAGTGTGTCACCCACTTCAATAGCACAGGGTGTCACCTACTGCCCCAGTGTGTCACCCACTTCAATAGCACAGGGTGTCACCTACTGCCCCAGTGTGTCACCCACTTCAATAGCACAGGGTGTCACCTACTGCCCCAGTGTGTCACCCACTTCAATAGCACAGACAATCTCTCACTAGATTGTTCAGGGTGAAGCTCCCATCAGTAGACCAGAGTGTCTCCCCCATTCCGACAACTATAAAATATATAATGTAAAAAACCACTTTGATTGGTGTCATCACCTTAAATAGTGTCACCATCTTGAATGGTGTAACCACATTAAATGGTGTCACGACCCAGTGTTTCTTCCAGACTTTTTTCTCCGGGGGGGGGGGGGCACTTGAAATTTTCGGGGGGGCGGTAGACTTTCTTCGGGGGGGGGGGGGCGGACACTGTTAAAAGTATATATTTTCTATAGAAATTATATAAATTTCATTTCGTTCGGGGGGGGGGGGGGGCGGTAAAAAATTTTCGGGGGGGCGAAGCCCTGTCACCACCGTCAATGGTGTCATCACTTTGAATTGTGTCACCACCTTGAATTGTGTCACCTCACTCCGCCATTCGTCGTTAGTGATTTGTGTCTGTATAACCTTGCGAATGAAGCTGTTTTGCATTATGAAACCCGTCATTTAAACAGATGGTGTGGTCTGCACTACATTATCCAACTTAGGTGAGGTAGAGGTCAGTCCTAATGGGACGTGGGTTGTTATACTGTGTTTTCTTAAGGAATAGTACAGTAGACTCACACTGTTACCGTTAATATTATACTGCGTAACGTGTATACGCACTTATATATATATATATATATATATATATATATATATATATATATATTCAGACAGTAATTAGAAATATTTATTTATGCCTTTATGTGGAGCTGGACACTACCCCTCCCCCCTCCACCCCGCCTACACCACAACACACACCCCCCTGTCAATTACCTCCTGCCAGTTTATGATACGTTAAGATTGGGATAAGGTTGGGTAATGTCGGGGTTGGGGGGTGGATTCTTTCCGGGAGAGTTGGCGTAATATTGACGAGATGGTAATCTCTTAAACCCCTGCTATACCTAGCTAACTTTCTGTTTTATATTTATTTGACATAAAGATTTACCCGAAGCCAAAATGACGTGTCCACCTGCCCAAATTAGTGACTTAGACCACCAAATTGCTTGCGTCGTCAACTTGCGGGACCCATCTATATTTAGAAGTTCATCTTTGACCAAAGATAACGAGTTTGTAGCCCGCTGTGGGCCGTCAAGCTGCACATCCACCCTGCAGTATGATGCTGTGGTCAGGAGTGGGACCACAACAGTCGCGATACCTATCGTCAGTCGAGACCATGAGGGCAACTGGACATGTGCCATTCAGTTTGACGGGAGCAGTTATGTTGCGAGAGATTCGTGCCTTTTGCAAGTATTAGGTGAGTTATAGGTGTAGTGATATCATGTATGTAGTGGGAAAGTATTGTGTAATGACATCTTGTAGGTACTGGGTGAGTTATGTGTAATGACATGTAATGAGTAAGTTATGTGTAATGACATGTAGTGGGTGAGTTATGTGTAATGACATCTTGTAAATACTGGGTGAGTTATGTGTAATGACATGTACTGGGTGAGTTATGTGTAATGACATGTACGAGATGAGTTATGTGTAATGACATGTACTGGGTGAGTTATGTGTAATAACATGTACTGAGTAAGTTAAGTGTAATGACATGTACTGGGTGAGTTACGTGTAATGACATGTACTGGGTGAGTTATGTGTAATGACATGTACTGGGTGAGTTATGTGTAATGACATGTTGTAAGTACTGTATAAGTTATGAGTAATGACATCTTGTTAGTACAGTGCGAGTTATGTGTAATGATTTGCGGGGGGGGGGGGGGGGGCTATTAAATAATTTTTTTTAAGAACAATTAATTTAATTTTATATTTGTGCATTTTTTCCTTGATGTTTGGTTTGTAAAAACATTCTAAAGCTGCAGTAGGGCCTATTATTATCTTTGTTTTTACTTTTTACATTCACTATACCATACTCTTCAGTAAACATTTAAATACACTACACAAACTCTAGCGTAAAATACGGGCTATTTTTACAAGCTTTTATTTAACTCACTTCCTCGTCAGCCTGTCGTCAGTCTAGTTCGAAACGCAGGAGTGAAAATTCGGAAACTTCTACTTGACCGATACGATTCACATTTGACACGTGGGTCAAGACATGAAGACAATGCAATCTGAAATTAAGTTTGACTTAATTGGATGTCTAATTATTTTTTTATGAATTAATTAAAATTTGGACCGAATTAGTAGGCATGTCTATCCAACCACACCACACGCGTCATCACGTTCAATAGCTGCGCCATCACGGTACGTTCAATAGCTGCGCCATCACGTTCAGTAGGCAAGCAATGGTATTTAGTCATGTAACTTAATTGTAAATAAAACATGTAAAGTACTGAAAAAATTCATAAAAAACGTTATAATAACAAGCTTTTATGTACTAATGCACTAAAAAGTAGAAAATAAATTATAGACTACTATTTAAATTGAATTTAGACCGTTGATCGTGACCTTGACCTCGCCGACAGACCAGACGTTTTGGGTATAGTTGATCGTCACATTGTACCTGGATGCTTCGAAGTAATTTATACCTGTGGAATCAGTTTTAATAGATGTATGTATAAGAAAAACAATTAGATAATTTGCAACGAAGAAACAAAAATGTTCTGTTTACAACGATTGCTGCTTGTAACTATAGTCTACTCTTGATGTCAAACTAATTTACTTCGTGTATTCATTAACACCTCTTAGGGAAAAATATATTTGGTGGTGTGTTTGGAGGAAATTTTAAATTCAAATAGAATGGCCCCGGAGTATAGAAATAAAACACAAATACTGAGCTGCTTTACTTAATTAAAATTCCGACAATTCACGAAAATTAGGTTTTTACTAAGCTGTTGAATTTTTAAAATGATCCCTACTTTATTTAAATAAAATAAATAAATAGATAAATTATATATATATATGATGGCGCGGCTATTGAACGTGATGACGAGTGTGGTGTGGTTGGATAGACATGCCTCCTAATTCGGTCCAAATTTTAATTAATTGATTAAAAATTAATTACGCATCCAATTAAGTCAAATTTAATTTCAGATTGCATTGTCTTCATATCTTGTACTTTTTCTACTTTGAATTTTTCAAAAGCCTATAACTTGAATACTATTTCAGATAGATAAATGAAATTTCAAACGTTAGTAAAAGATGCTATTTTCTACCTCATGTCAAATTTTAAGTAATTTCCGTTGACCGGAAGTAGTGATTTACGCTATTTCCAATTTTTCCAAAAAAGGCATGTAAATTTATAAAGTACTAATAATATTGCTCACTATTATGCACATTTTGTTTTGGCGTTCGCTTGGTGCACAATTCTTTTTCTATGAGATTCTATTCTATTTTAAAAGTTAAGTAATTAAAAATCATGTCTATATTCCAAGTTATATAAGAATATTCGAGAAAGTTTAGGGGAGATCACTCCCGGTTTATTTAGTGTTGTGTGTGTCGGACCACATTTGTGTTTATTTGGGTTTGTTATGATTCTTTTGATTTTTATTGGGTGTAGCGAGATTTCTAGGGGTTTTTTCCCCAATTTTTGCCCGCTGGTCCGCTATCACATTTCCTTGTATCTGGAAGTGGCTTGGGATCCACTGCAGCACAATCATGATGCAGGTATTTTTTAGCCTTTCAAGGGCTGTCCTGAGTGATTGAGTATAGGATTCTGGTTTTTTCTGGGACGGCAAGACAGATTAAGCATCTGTAAGAAAGACTGACTATTTGGAGATTCAGAGTGTTCTGACAGGAGGTTTGCTGCATGCTCTAAAGCTTTTTTCTCTGCTCTAAAATTGTCGGATAGGCTGCCTGTTGCTATTTACTTTTCTAAGCTTTCACCGTTTGGCCATTCAATAAGGGCTCCAGCCCCAACATTTGTGAGCCATCTGTGAGTACTCTAATCCAGGAATTCCTGTGGTACTGATCCTTTATGTGCTTATATGTAATTTTCTTTAGTTTTTCTTGATCGTAGTCAGATTTTTTTCTATAGTATCTATTAAGTCACTGACGGTTAAAGTATGGTGAGAGATCCACTGCGGGGAGAGGTTTAGAGTTTTGATTTTTTGATTTTTTGATTTTTTCTGGAATGATGTTTTCTTTTTCATATTTCTTTTTTAGATTTTTGTTTCTTCGATAAAACTTGTTCTTTGAAGTCTCTTTGATGAACTGGGCTTCTGGAGTTTGTGTTTAAGATTATGGGTTTCAGTGCCTCTAGCTTTGTGTATTGAGTGAGGATTTTTTATTCTCTTCTTACTTCTATTGAGCTCAGTGCGGCTATTTCGTCTATTGCTTTTATAGGCGTTGTTTTCATAGCTCCTGTCATTATTCTCAAACCAATGTTCTGAACTTTGTCAATTTTGCTGATATTTGTTTTTGCTGCTGAGCCCCAAGCCGAAGCACAATATTATAACGTAGGTCTCACATAGCTGGTGTAGGTTTTTTTCAGGATGTGATGATTTGCTCCCCAGTCTGTTCCTGCCAGTTTCCTCATTAGATTAAGTCTTTTAATCCCATTACTTTGTGTGTTTTCTATTTGTTTCTCCAGGTAAGTCGAGTGTCAAAAGTGACTCCTCGGTATTTGGAGAGGTCATTTTTTTCTAGCACTTGGTTTTCTAGGGTTAATTTCATTGCTTGATGTTTAGTTGATAGGGTGAAGATTGAATAGGTTGTTTTCTTGGTATTAATATATAAGCTCCAGTTTTGGTCCATTTGCTGACTTTGTCAAGTGTTTCCTGAAGACAAAATTTTGAAGTACCAATATATTCCTCTGAGCTGATTAATCAAAGGTCGTCTGCAAACATGCTACTTTTTACTCTCCTTGTGACGTTTTCGTTTAAGTCATTTATATAAATGAGAAAAAGTAGGAGACAAGACTCCTCCTTGAGGGACTCCATTTTTTATAATTTCAGTATGACTTATTTTTCCTTGCATGGAGACTGATGCTTTTCGGCTGTTTAATTATCATTTAATCCAATTTAGCACGTTTTGAGATACTTGATGGTTTATTAGCTTTAGAATTAAACCTTGCTCCCAGACCTTGTCAAACGCTTTTTCCAAGTCGACCCACACTATTGAGGTTGGTTTTTTAGTTGTAAGCCATCTTCTATTTCCTGAGAAATGAAGGTGAATTGGTCATCAATAAATCTGCACTTCCTGAAGCCTGCCTGTTCGTCTGCTAGTAGATTGTTCGATTCGAGAAACCAGGTCAGCCTGTTGTTTACTACCCTTTCCAACAGTTTACAGACGCAGCTAGTTAAACTTATTGGGCGATAGCTATCGACTTTGTAGTTCTTGTCAGATTCTTGCGATTCTCTCAACTTCAACGTGAGCGATCACATGCTTTTATTTGATTGCATTACATGTTGCCTGGATCCAGTAGATGAAATAAACATCTTTATCTGATCACTAAAATAGAATACGTTCAGAGCAGCTAAGTAGAAGGTGATACTCCTTGGCCGAAATTTTAAGAGCAAAGAAAAATATTACACTGCTTTCTATATATAAAATTAGGTAAAACCTTAGTTTAGCGTCGTAAATTCGGCCAAAAATAGTAATATAGTATTTTCTTTAAATATAAGTATATTTTCGTATATTTTATTAAAATATTATAGATAATTGAATAATAGATCATCATTTTTGGCTTAATTTAAATTAAATGTTTCGAGATAGTAAATTTGCTATTAAAAACATCAACCATCTTATGAAAATATTATTTAGAGTTGCTTTCCTTTCGGTTCTATTCTTATAAAAATGTATTGATGTGTATCTAAATATGATTGTCTTTTTTTAAATAGGACTACAGAGCATATTTTTTTTTTAATTTTTCCCTTTAAAAACGGATTTACTGACAAACAATAACATTCTTTCTAGAAGTATTGTGAGATGCAACTTGTATCCTTTTTTTAAAATCCGTTTCTTTATCGTACTAATCTCTATTACTACACAGTTTGAGTTTTTTCTTATTGTTTGGATTTTTGCTATCTTCATTTCAAGTTTTAGTGTTTCTTTTCTTTATATAGTAATTAAGTCTTATATTATGTCACTAGGCATGCTGCCCAGCTTCGCTTAGGCTTTCAAAAACATTGAGAACTTGAATGCTTAATTAATTCGCCCGAGGGTCGGTCTACGACCTCAGGAGTTATGAAGAGGTTCATACGTGGCCAATTTTTTTTTCGATGTAAAGCTTGTATAAGGCGCCGGTCAGTCGATGTCTGTGTTGACCCCCTCATCGTAGACCTTTAGGCCAACCGGCACCGGCCCCCTAGTTCTGTCGCCCCAAGGCAAGATCCTGCCAAATTTGAATACGCGAATATGCCTATTTTTTTCAAATTATTTTTTTCCCAAAATTAGCCAGTTTCATTGCTAAACAAATAAACCGGTAGTGATCTCCCCTAAACTTTCTCGAATATTCTTATATAAAACAACAGGGGATGGTAACTGGGGATATAGTTATGATTTTTAATCCATTTTAAATACTTAAACTTTTAAAAATAGAATAGAATCTCATAAAAAAAACATTGCGCACCAAGCAAACGCCGAATAAAAACGCGTATAATAGTGCGCAATATTATTAGTACTTTAAAAATTTACATTAGTTTTTTGAGAAATCGGAAGTAGCGTAAATTACTACTTCCAGTCAACGGAAATTACTCAAAATTTAACAGAAGGTAGAGAATAAGATCTTTTACTTACATGTGAAATTTCATTTATCTATCTGAAATAGTACTCAAGTTATAGGCTTTTGAAAAATTCAAAGTAGGAAAAGTACCACTTCCGGTTATCGGAAATCGCTCAAAAGTTGATACGGATCTACGATTTTGATAAAATACTTATATATGAAATTTCATCAACCTAGCTGTAACGGTACTCAAGTTATCGTGTTTACACACGGACAGACAGACAGACAGACAGACACACACACACACAGACATACGGACAAGATTGCAAAATTATGTTTTTCCGTATCAGTGAGGTGTAAAACGTCGAGATTTGTAAAAATCTCGATTTTTTTTTTTTGCACGATTACAATACTTTCTCTATACTACGTATATACGAGAAAGTAACAAAGATTTCTATAAAATATTTAAGTCCTGAAAAAGTTTATTATAGAAATTTATTTTTGGAATAGATTCTACAGTAGATAGAGTCTAAATCTAGATCTAGAATAGATCTTAGCAACATAGCGTCTACGTCTAGTTTTTGCGTAGATTTAGATCTAGTCTAGATCTAGATCTAGAATCTCTAGATCTAGAATTCAAATAGATAAAAAATGTGTTTAAGTTTAGGCCGAGAAAATCGTATTGTATACATTTCATAGCGTACATAGCTCTAAATCATATTTGAATGAAATAGTTCATTTCTTTTTATTCTAAACTCGGAAGATGACGTCATCAGTTTCGTGCTCTTTTTTTAGTGTAAACAATAAGCGACGTCATTGTTAAATGCGTTCTTGCCCCAACAAGTTTAAACATTTTTCCGGTTGCATAATTAAAATTGTTTCTCTACATTCGAATACGCCTTTATTTTTTTATTTTTCTTCTTTAAATAAAATTGTGGTTATACATTTAAAACATCTAACATATTATTTTCAAGAAAAGTCCGTATAAAGTTCTTCATATATCGCTACAGTTTCTGATGTGATGTCCGGCGAAAATATTTTGCGGACAGACAGAGAGAGAGAGAGAGAGAGAGAGAGAGAGAGAGAGAGAGAGAGAGAGAGAAGTGCGCACACATGGCCCATTATATATTAGGATTATTTTTTTTTCACCTCTCTTCACCTTAGTTAAACTAAAACCTCTATCATATTTTCGTTGTCTATGTTATAAAAAGTCGATATGTTTCGCTTTGGGGGTCATCTATAAATTACGTCATGCTTTTTTGACGATTTGATTTTCACTCCCCCCCCCCCCTCAAGCACCCCTTCGTCACACATCGTCACAAAAACCAGACGCCACAATTAGCCTACACCCCCCACCCCCCCCCCCTCAATATAGGGGTTGAATTTTCCGAAAAACTTCGATATTTGTCCAAATCTTGTCTGAACTTATACAGAAACCAACAGTAAAAAAAAGTCATATATAAGTGGTTGTATGTACTTTTATTTATACACAAAGACAAAAATATACTAACACACACAGACACATAGGCACATACACAAGCCGATGTATATTTTTGTCAATTTATAAAGCATATATAATGCATATATGACTAAATTTAATATTAATCAGACAATAAATACAATTAAAATATTAAGCAAACATTTTGTATTTACTTTAGAAAGACCTCAGTGTCCTACGAACCTTAGTATTATAGCAGAGGGAAAGAGTTTCCTCCTATCATGGATGGATGGAGATGATGGGGGAGCAAAACAAACTTTTGTCGTTCTACAAGCCGCATCAAATAAAGAATTCACTGAAGTTGGACAAATCAATGACACACTGGGCAATACGACAACATACAAGGTGGCAGGACTGGAACCAAACACAGCGTACATATTCTCTGTCAATGTCTATAACGACATAGGAACCACAGACTGTTCTCATATCACGGTCTCTGGAAGAACATCTGCTACTGAAGGTATGTATCTGTTTTTCACGGCCAAACTTTTTTTTACATTCACCGCTTTAACTGCGTGTATATGTGTGTGTCCCCCCCCCCCCCTATTTCCCGAAAGACGAGCTTAGGTATTGAAACTAGCGTCTGACGCAGAGGCGTAGCGACCCTTCCCGGCGCCCGGGGACAAAACTTTCGATTTGCACCCCCCCCCCCCTCGAACTTTTCATTTGCACCCCCCCCCTCAAACTTTCAATTTGGCGCCCCCCCCTAAGGTCGGCGCCCGGGGACATGTGTCGTCGTCCCCGCCCCCCCCCCCCCCCTCGTTACGCCTCTGGTCTGACGCGTCAGGTAGTACTTCCATTCAGGTTAGTGAGACTCAATCACCTGAATAGAAAAGGCTGATTAGGACCGACCCTCCCATAAATGTATTACCGTTTACTTTACAGTCACATTAATTCGATTTCTTTGCCGTTGTGGCTTTTTGCTTTGTTGGCAGTACACTCGCCGGTGACTGTCGTTTTGTATTAAGTTTTTTTTATATTAAGTTTTTAACTTTCCTTGATGGGAGCAAGCGAGGATTTTATAGGATAATTACAAATATATATGCTGACAACATAAACTGCTAACTATAAAGAAAACAACATTCGTAGTGATTTGTTTGATGATTTAAAAATGTTGGTCTAACCACTTTAAAAGATTATTATAGATAGAAGTGTGGATGATTCTAATGTAAATTTGCACTTGTGTATGGAGTGAAAAGTGAGCTACAATTTGCTAAGTACCAGAGGACCTTTTATAGTGTAAAATAAAACCATGAAATTATTTTACTATGCCTGTCTAATCCGGAAATACTCATAAGGTATTATTATGATAATAACATCTGATATTTTATTGCTTTGACGCTCTGTCAATTATTGTGTTATAGCTGTCCAAACAGATACAGATGCAACTATCATCATAATTGTTGCTGGTTGTGTAATACTGATTGTAGTTGGAGTTGTTATATGCTTTCTTGTGAGAACCAAATTCAAAAATAAGAGCGGTAAGAATTTTTCATTAGAATATCTTTTAATGCAAACGTGTTTGTTACCAATCCATTTTTAATAAAACCATTCAGAAAATACAAAAGTACTTTTAAAAAGTAGAGATACTTGTATATAAAACATATCCTAGAACATAACTTATTACATTTAATAACTATAATAATATATTTTTGTAAAATATAATTATAAGAAGTAAAACTAAAACTTTAAACTGAGTATAAATGTAAATCTTTGGTAATAAAACTAATATTAGATAGTTTTTATATTAATGGTCTGCTCTTAAAACGTAGGTATGTTATCGAGATTTATCAATAGTAATACTGGGGATTCATTACTAATCGTAAAAACATATCTTATCGTGAGATTGATGCAAATAATTAAAAATTAAAAAAAACATTTAATGTTAATTTTAGAAGCAGCCTGCCTTGTTTGTCAGCACACAACTGAACCGAAGACAACAGAAGTAACAGAGATGACAGATCAGTTACGCACTTTGACACTTCCGACTGACGACGACGGATACTTGATGGCAGCAGAGGCTAGGCAAAATTTGGTTTCACAAACACAGTCAGGTCTAGTGCCTCAGTTAGTAGCTAGAGACAACACGGCAGCAGAACTTCACAGACGTCAGTCGAGCCAAATCTCAATACAAGCACCAACAAACCAGGCGAACGAAAACCCTTACGATATGGTAGAAGATGACCAAAGAGCAATACAAGCACCAAGAAATCAAGCGAACGAAAAGCATTACGATATGATAGAAGATGAACTTCCAGAATTTGTAAACAATTCTAATTTTTGTGACGCCCATCATCAAGAGCTACATCAGGGTACGTCACCTAAGCACGTAGCACCATTTCAAGACAGCGACACGACAAACTATGGTAACATTAGCTCTGGCAATGTGAAAACCATAATGGACTACACATCGTTATATGAGACTCCTGATAACAACACCTATAACAACGGAGAACACCAGTATGCCGTATTTAAATTAAAATAAAATAATGTAAATTTTCTGAGGACTTGATATTAGACTTCAGATATATACATTGTTCCTTGTAAAGAATTTGTCTTTTTAAGATCATGAGTTTGAATTTTAATACACAGCTCGTTAGTCTTCATTATGTACATGTGACATGATGGATTTTATTATTTTTTGCTTAATGCTTTTTTACCCTATTATTTACTACATTAAAATGTTTTAACACATGCTTAGACTGCCCACACATTGTTATATGTTTACTTATTTTTTCTTTTTTTTTTACATGTTTTGATAGAAATAGCATCTGCTATACTTGTACTGGCATCTAAATTCAATAGTTATGAATCGATCACACCTTAGTAATCAGCTGACAATTGCTTATATAAACGACAGCGGTCAACGAGTAACTAAGTGTGTCGTAGAGTGCATGCAAACAAAATAGTATTAGTGGTTATTACTTAGCTATGGCATCTTTCGTTACCACGCAGAAAAGGTATAGGACAATAGTTTCTGATGAATTTATGTTTATAAAATTTATAAGAGAAGCAGCAGGCAAATGGTTTGGAAATGTGAAGTTAGAACATTTCGAGCAAGAGTTTACACAATACATGATTACATAGTATTTGAGAGGTGTGATCATAACGATGTACCTGCCTTCATAGAAACGTAAGCGTTATTTTTGAGTTGATGAAGCAATACAAACAATAGTTTTACGTTACGAACCAGAACACCCATTCTTGCTTGCATTATTGTGAAGTATAGCATTTATTTTCTACTTTTTAGTTCAATCAGAAAACGTGGGTTTTTTTTTTTTAACTTTTTTAATGATTATTATTTAAAATTAAAAACAATAGTTGAATTTATTTTTAAATTACCTCCCTTGGAAAATTACAAATCAGTTTAATTAGTTGTTTCGCCCCTTTTATTATTGAAGTGTATCCACTTTTTCTAGGAATCTAAAAGAATATGATATTTGACATTGATCCGTTTAATATGTTTTTGCAATTTGCGTGTATTTAATATTTTCTTTACGTTATGCAAAAGAGTTAAATTAGTGGCAACTATAGAATAAATTTAAGTTGTTATATAAACAAACCCTATTCTATTACATAAAATAAGACAATGTGATGCACTGAAAAGCACTGCAGGGTGCAAAGTTTACTTTTATAGTTCCAAAATCTATAGCGATGACACGTGGTAGGAAGGAAGGAAGAACTGACACACTAGCAGCCCACTTATATTATAGATTAAAGATATTGATAAATATAGTTTTTTTTTTGTTCAAAGGCTGCATCCCTTTCAGAGCTATTTTAAACTTCGGCGTGAACATTTTCATGTGTCTTGTCGATGAAGTGTCATTAAAATACTAATGACAGTTGATCTGAAGTTTGTATTACAGAATTTTTTCTTACGGAATAAATATGTAACTGTAGAACGTAAAAGTTCAACTAGTATGTAAAGCTCGAACAGAGGAGAGAGGAGACGCATGCCAGAATAAAACTAATGTTTCCTAACCTCATCAATTATTTCTTATTGTTTAAGTGTCCATCGCTACTATGCTATTTATAAAATTAAAAAGAACCACTTGACTGTAAATACTACTTATGTCTGTCCTTTTATATTATTACAAACCTCTGAATACAAGGGAATCGGAATCAGGGGCAAAACTACAGTGCCGCCAGACACCGCAATGGGGGGGGGGGGGGGCAGGCCGTTTAGGGGCCCACAGACACCATAATATAGTTTTATGGAAAAAAATAATTTTCTTGCATATTTGACTTGATGGTTGTTTTGTGATTCTTTTTTAATTAATATATCATCTGCTTATACATAATAGGGTCTACCATTAGCTGTAGCAATTCACAAACGATGATCTAGTGTGGGGTCAATACAGTGTATTAGAGTTTGGGCTTGATATTATAATTATATTCCGTCAAACTTGCACATGAAAGAAGCTAGCGCAGTTGTTGTTTTTCTACAATTAAAGAATGTAGTATGTAGCCTACCATATCTTGAGTTGATCAAACATGGAATTCACGTATTTTGTGCCACAGCACGAGACTACTATTAAATCATGGAATTCACGTAGGCTATTTTTGTGCCACACGTAACAGCGCGAGGTTACTTACAGGCATGTTGACAATTTCCGTTTGTGCTGATCAAATCCACACTTTTAGTTTTGACGGTGGGCTACTTGGATATAAAAAAAAATGTGTATAGGTGGTGTTCACGACACATTCTCCCACGATTCAACCACATATTTCCCCTCCTTACACATTTAAAGTGTTTTCAATAAAAAATATATATGAAAAACTAGATCTTACATCAGGAATGTAGATGTTTAAATGACATATTATGATATAAAATGACAGATCTGTTCTCTCCTTGGCACTAAGTTAGAGTATCATATAATGCAGTCATTTTACTGACCCATGTAATGAATGAATCATGCAGGTTTAACACAGATTTCACTTGACCTAACATATTTAATTCCTCTTAAAACTATTTGTGGAACTCCAGTTTTTAGGATAATAAATTTTCTGAAAGAACGACAGGCATTCAGACTGAAGTGGGTTGGAGCTCTGAGAAATGCAAAGATCAAAGGTAAAATGTAAGATAAATGTTTACTTCTGGCTAGCCATGAATCTGATTTGTTCCAATCAATTTTAATCCCAGTCGTAGTCGTGAATCAAGCTTGATTTTTTCCAATTAATCTTAACGCTATATTCCAATTAATTTTAACGCTATATTTAAAACAATTATTTTTTTCTCTGCTAGTTATGATGATCTATGGACCTGCAGACCCCGTGAACCCATCAGAATTTGCACAGGTTTTTAGGTAAGTTTTTAAAAATTCTTATTTAGGGGGAGGTTGGGAGAGATAACTTAATCTTAGTTTACGTCCAATAAACAGGGGCGGAACTACAGTACCGCCAGACCCCGCAATGCGGGGGGGCCCACGCCATTTAGGAGCCCACAGCCGACCATACTCAATTTTTTATAGTTAAAAAAAATAATTTTCTTGCATTTTTGACTTGATGGTTGTTTTGTAAAAAAGATTACTGTAGCTGCGGTTGGATTATCTTTATTCTATAGACACCACCCCACGCTCTTGTATATTCTCTTTCCTTTTGTTTTTAAACCATTGTGAAAGCCGTCCTCTTTCTCCTACAATCAAACTTATCAAAGATAAGCAAACGTTCAAACCACTTCCATGACTTATTTCCCTTTTTTAAATAGTCAAATAGGGGTGCTCATAAGCTCCTTTTAATAGATTTGTGCAAATTAAAAAGCAATTATTTCTCTGAATTATTATTGTTTTATAAAGTACTTAAAGAATGACGCTGTATAAAAAGGAAATGTATTTAAAATTAATAATAAAAATTTAAAAAAATCATAAAAATAAACATAACACGAGACACCATTACTTATACAAAGCTTTCATGGTTTATATTCTTTTGACCGACTAGAGGTAATGAGGTCTTATACCTGAAATAAAATAAAACTGATTTTCACACTAATTCACATACACACATGACATGTTGTTGTAAATTGATTTAACTAAAATTTAAAAAAAATTAAAACTCGAACAGGCCTGCAATGAGTATCCTATGTTCGTATTTTGTGTTTGTGTATGTATTGTATATATATATATATATATATATATATATATATATATATATATGGGGGGCCTAAAAAAAAAAACTGCGGGGTGGCCCTTTTTTTCTAGTTCCGCCACTGCCAATAACGTGTCTAAAAAATGACAAGCAACTTAACTGAAAATAATAAAACGGAACATGGATTAAAACATGTTTCTAGCTGTTAGATTCTTTACTAAGGTAATGCCTTCCATTCCATTTGGTTCCTCTTCTAGAACTACAGTCCCAGATCAGACACTGAAGGTTCTTTCACCACAAGTTGGGCATTACCCACAGTGGGAAGACCCAAATGCTGTCAGCAATGTTTTAATTCAATTTATTAAGAACTTGCCCACTCCTTAAATAGCTGATTGTTTGATGAATACACATCTTTGAAGTAGAAAAAAAACTAACAAAAACAAATGTATTTAGGTAATGTCTTTATTAGATAAAATGTGTATCAAACAAAATTTATTTTTTTAAGTTTTAGCTTAGATTGAGTTGTGTTCACAACTAATTAAATCTCTAAGTTTACTGCATCATTAGGTCAGTATAAAATGTTGCATATGTAAATAACTAAATGAAGTAGTTTAATTGTTTAAAGAATCAGGTAATTTACTTATTTATCAGTGAACATGTTTTAAAAATGTTGTATGACAACTGTCAAAATAAATGAAATCATCAATGCCAGTATTAATATACAGTGACAGTAATTCAACAAAAATGTTTGAGTATAATCATGAGCTTGTTAATCCATTTATGAATACAAACTATATACAAATGAAATCAATGTCAATATTTACAGTATTTAGTGTTTAAGTGTAGGCTATCTACGCTGTTACATGAAAATATTAACAAATGAATGATGGTCTGGTGAAATATATTACAATGTATAAAAATTTCATCATGATATTGTTATTTTAAAATGTTTATTTACATAATTTTACTTATTTATTGATGGGGATAAAAAAATATGTATCTAGTAGGATGTGGAGAAATACACATCATGTAGGGAGACAACCCATGTATCAACTTAAGATATTACTGATCTGTGTGTTAAAAGAATATAAATTAGAGTTTTGTAATTCAGACAATAATGTTTCTATCTCTGAATAAATAAAAAAGCTACAAAGACCATCAACATAATGGAAAAAAAAATCTAATCTAAACTGTTAACTGGATATAAATGTCGCTAAAAATAAAAGATAATTCAGTTAAAATACTCCACATGTAAAGATGTATTTAAAAAGTAATACTCATCTGCTGCCATTTTATTATACACTTGGAATGTTTTTTTTCCACACAAAAACACATTCATTACTTACAGCATGGAAAATATTTTATAAAAATCTACTCCTTTAAAAATCTTTGAGAAATTTAAAAACATGAAATTGAAATGTAGATATCTCTTCGACAAAGTATAATTTTAAAGTTATTTTTAATGACAAGGCTTATGTATATATTTTGTGATTTGTCAAAAGAGAGCATGCAAAGAAATAAACACAAAATTCTTCAAACAGGTTAGCTTTTCTTAACAAATTTTAAAGTTCATTTTGCTGTTTACCTATTGACACAAGTACATTTTCTCTATTTTATCTTTATTCATAAATGCTCAAATACAATATTACAAAATTTTCTTTCAAATACTATACTTGCTATATTTGTTTATAAACATTTCTTTTGATCTGAGCATTCATGTCTACTTAAGCATTATTTTAATTACCTCTCAATCAGATATATTTAAACCCTTTACAACATTATATTTTAAAAAACGGTCAAGTACATTTTCTTTAAAAATGTTTTCAAATCAGCAATGCGTTATTCTTTATAGTGCAAATTATGTTATGGCATAGACTTCGGTGCTTTAGCGAAATATTCTGAAATTTAATTACTGCTTTCACATATTAAAAAAAAAGAGATCAAGACACAAGAAGAAATCTGGTTCAGTAAAACAGGGTAAAAAAAATAATTCATTGAAATGGTTGTTAGCCAAATATTTAGCATTTGTTACTTGTGTAGCAGAGGTTATCAGGTTTAGATCTGATACAAAAATAGAAGACAGTCATTATTTAAATTGATGAGCAAAGATGGGTTGACTAACAAAACCCCCATTAAACTGTGGAGTCATCCATAGGTATCCTGTCTCTGATGGCGTAGTTGTACACTGGGGCTCCATGCATTGAAGTTGGTGTAAATGACCGTTCAGTGGGCGCAACAGTGTGGTGGTCCCCAGCCCCGGTGTTGAAGGCTGTTTTCATTGCCGCTAGAGGGCATGATGGCAGGCTGTGATCTATTAGCACTTGGTGCCAGGAAGGAGGGCTCTGTACCATCATCCAGTAACAAAACTGTAACAGATTTTAATAGTTAACATTTACATAAAGTAAATCTGAACTTTCTTAGTTTAGGCGATTATTTTTACAACAAATTTAAAAATAGAATTTTTTAAAAATGAGAACTGGGCATACATATAACTTAAATATATTTGAACAGTTGTGAATAACAATGTATGGAGACTAGAGCCAGATTGAAAGTTCAGTTAGGTAGACTAGCTTTTCTCACTGATGATCTGAGGTAAACATTGTACACAGATGACCGGAGGTAAACATTGTACGCAGATGACCTGAGGTCAACATTAAACACAGATGACCTGAGGTCAACAGTAAGCACAGATGATCTGTGGTCAACATTAAACACAGATGACCTGAGGTCAACATTGTACACAGATGACCTGAGGTCAACATTGTACACAGATGACCTGAGGTCAACATAGTACACAGATGACCTGAGGTCAACATTAAACACAGATGACCTGTGGGCAACATTAAACACAGATGACCTGAGGTCAACATTGTACACAGATGACCTGAGGTCAACATTGTACACAGATGACCTGAGGTCAACATTGTACACAGATGACCTGAGGTCAACATAGTACAGATGACCTGAGGTCAACATTAAACACAGATGACCTGTGGGCAACATTAAACACAGATGACCTGAGGTCAACATTAAACACAGATGACCTGAGGTCAACGTTGTACACAGATGACCTGAGGTCAACATGAAACACAGATGACCTGAGGTCCACTTACTGTTGGTCTCAGGTTGAAGCTCGGCATAGCCACTTTTCGTTGTAACCCTGGTGATTGTTTTACGTGTGATCTGTGGGTTTTCCCCGGGTTTCGGGTCCGTCGGGTCGGGTACAATGTCTGTCCATACCACCTGAGAACCAGCCAGGTTCCATTTAAATTTCATGTTTATATTTAATTTCATAATAGGTTGATTAAAATAAAATAGATAAAATAGAAACATAATACCAGCGAATAAATCTACAAGATATGACCATATAATTAAAACTCACTTGAGTGGTATTTACACCAGTTTTAGGGTCAGTGCCAGTCTTTACAGCAACTGACCTTTGACCCTGCCAGGGGTCAGGTGGGGCTGCACCCCGTGCAATAAGAGAAAGTTCTGGATCTTGAATAACATCTCTTATCTGGCCACGTCCAGCTCTTTCAAGTTCATTTCCCTTTTTGAAAGGGTCATTAGTCTTGTGGCGTCGACTTTCTGGAGTTCCCTTGTGTGGAGATACTTCAACAGCAAATGCCTTGCGCATGTTGCCCCCGGTTGCTGTAGGCGTGTCTTGAACAATATATGCACCCTGAACAGGTGCACCTGATTGTGGGACTGTTTGATATGCGTATGTTTGCGTGCCAAGGGGACCAGGGGCAAAAGCACCTGCAGGGATAAGACCATACGGATAGAATCCACCTGGATATCCATACTGGCCCTGAGGTTGATTGCCTGGATAGTTGATACCAGTTATAGCAGAGTTGAAGATTGGTTCAAACGCTTCTGGAGGCAGAGCTGTGGGGTCTGGTTCTTTCCCTTTTCGTCTTGATAATGGTGATTTATCTCCCTTTTTCTTCTTGCGCAGACTGGCGTTGGGTGATTCAGGATGATCGTCAACCCTGGCCCTGAACCCAGCGTTCACATGCAGTGGGCTGGAGATTGTTTCAGAGTCCGGCTGACTCTGAAGGTCAATGGAGAGATACCTCTGCATGTTGCCATCAATGACGCTTGTCTCAGGGACGTCACCCTTGCTTTTTGATTTCGGAGAACATCTTTCTTCTTCAGAGATGTGTCATCGGTTTCTGTGGTTTTATTACTATCAGTGTCAAACACATCATCAATTAATGTCTCTTTACTTGTTTGTTTGTTTTTAGCTTCTTCCAGCCTTTTCCTTTCTTCTTCTTGTTTCTCTCTTTCTTCCTGCTTTGTTCTCAACTCATCCTGTATATTCCTAGCATCCTCTCTTTTTCTTCTCTCTTCCTCTTCCTTTTCTTTCTCTTTTTTAATCATATGCGTACTGCTCATACTCGTGTCTGGACATCCTGTTTAGTGAGTCACCTTGACCTGGCATATTGCGGTAGCTCCCTTCTCGTTGAAAGTTTCTGCCCATGCGTGGTCCACCCTTCTGGTACGGGCTACCTCGGTTCTGAGATTGTGGGTCATATTTACCTGTTGTCACAGTGTTCCATACAACAGGGTCCTGGTTTAACAGAGAAAAAACATGATGAAAACATTACAATGCTGAAACACATTCCAAAAAATAATTAATAGCAGGTCTTCTATATCTTAGAATCACCTAAAATAGTATGTTAAAAAGAACACAAACAACTAGTCATAATTATTATTAAAGCACCATTTGGAAGTCCTGTGAGTGAATCTGTAAATGACATACATCCACTGATTGACAAGGTTACTGAATACAGCAATTGGTTCAGGTTCTCTCCCTTTTTGATACTCACCATGTCATTTAAGTCTTTAATGTTTATAGCTTGGCATTTAGTGTGGCCAACTAAAACTAATAGCACAATGGACCTTATTTATTCACGTTACAAAAAACTGACTAAAAATTAACACAGGTAAACTACAGTCTCACCTGGAAGTCAATGATTGGAGGCTTAGACTTCTCTGAGGTTGAGCTGCTATTGACAACAGCTGGCTTGGAAGATAGACTGGCCAGGAATGTTGAAGTTTCCAATTCTACCTGTGAAAAATATTTCAAAACTAATTTTTATTCTGGCCCAAACTTTAGTTGCAATCTGACAAATACACACTCCAAAAAACTAAACCACTAACATATGTTAATAATTAATTAATAAATTAACTAACTAACTAATGACCTGTACAGCAGCACCAGAGAAAGAGGATGATCAAGGCTACCAGGACAATACATCCAATTACAATGCCAATGATGGCCCCAACTGGCAATGCATCAACTCCCATCATAGTACCTGGCACATATTGGTCCTCTAAATAAGATAAAAATAAAAATTAGAAATGGCACCAAGGAGGTCTTGTTAAACAATGGCTAATTCAATCATATCATTTATTTGCAATCAATGTATTTTGATTTAATTGTTCCACTTTTGTATTCTAGATGATGGCTTATTACTGAGTTACAGTTTCAAACAATAATTAAATTATAATTGTAATTTAAGTTGGTAATAATAAACTGTAAACAAGTGCTCCCCCTTCATCAAACTAATATCAGAAGGACAACTACATAGTTTTATATGTAAAATGATAAATAACTTAAACTTACTGTATGGTTTTATCAGCAGACTATACTGATACTCATTGTGAATAATTCTATCAGGACGTGAAAATTTAACAGTTACTTCTCGCCCAGTTGAATACACTATTCCAGTAGACCCATATTGACAAGAGAGAGCTTGCTGAAATACATTTAAATACAATTTCATGTAAAATCTTTACACACATTGGTGAGAAAACTTTTTATGATCTCAAAACTCTTTGTTTAATTCAGAATTCTTTAGCAGGTTTTTTAAAAAACATACTACAATTAAATTCTTTAATAAAAACAACAAAACAACAACATTGACATTATAGACAACTTACTAAAATACTTTATTCCTTAATACTATATTCCTGAACATATGCTACACTCACCAAAGTGTTTCCAACACTAGTCCTGCCGTTGTACAAGTCCACTCTGACCGTGCAGTCTTTGATGACAAGACTCTCAATTTCAATTTGAAGTTTATTGCTGCCATCATCTCTGGCATAGACTGACATGAGGTACACAATACACTCAAGGGGTGGGTTGGATGGGGCGGTGTTGCCCCGCCCATTGAGGCGTACCCCAGAGTCATCAACACTGATAGTCCTGCCACATGTCGCCAGCTCATCCATGTCATCTTCATTTGTTCCATAATAGATTTACAATAAATAGAAACACACAAGTAAGTTCATTTGTTTCACAATACATTTAGAATTAGTTGACATATACAGCTAAGTTCATTTGTTTTAGAATACATTTACAATTAATAGAAACACACAACTAAATTCATTACCTACAAAATAAGAATGGATGGATGATTTTAATGGATGGATGCTTTTTTAAAAAGTGTATTAATTGTTACAAGAACTGGTGGTTGTAAAATTTTTTGGAGGGATGGCATAACTAGAGTGCTCGAATGAACAACTAGCTTGAAGTATCAAGTTCGGATCTAAGTTAGGATTTGCATGATGTCTCTGTGTCCAACCAATTCTGGTGGGTACCAGACTCATGCTAAAGGAATTAAAGGCTGCTTGCCTAAGTGCTAACCACATCATCCACTGATAGGGGGAGTCAAGAAATATATGAACTCTACTTCATCTCCCTATAGATCAATTAATCTAAAAGGCTGACTTAACCTATTAACCTATTACCTTTGTATTATTTTCAACAACACAAGAAGGTAAGAAAATGAAAAAAAGCAAAATAGACATAATAGGAATAGTCAAGGCATTGGCAATTAAAATAAATCTGCAATATATATGTTATATCGACTTACATTCTCTGACACTCTGAGACAATACAGGCACCCACATCATTAGCACCAGGCAACTGGCTAAACCTTGCCTGATTCTTATCTTCATGGTAAGGCCAGTAACTCTTGAACAAATGTAAATTATCTATCCTGATAAATCACCTGCTCATAAAAAAAAAATAAACTTGTAAGTAGTTATTATAATGTAGAAGAAATAACAATACTATACAAAAATAAAATGTTAGTAACTTAACTATAAAAACATATATCAATTACTTTCTCAGATACTCTATAGATACAAAGATTATTAAAAATTATAATGTTTGATGAAATGTAATAAGTTAATGACTAGGTAGAGAATAAAAAATAGGTCAGCCTCTGATTTAGATCAGAGTTTAATTAAAGGAGTTAATTTTTTTTTTAAATAAATAAGATGAGACTTGTGCAAATTAGTTATGTTTCAAAGTAAACTAAAAAAAAATTATTATTAAGAGCTGCAAATTTAGGGGGCCTAAACTCAATATTAGATTGGGTTTAAAGGGGGATAACTATTTCATTATTTTGTCTTTAACTTTATCAATATTCATTTATTTGATACACTCATACACTCTGTAGAATTCCCTGAATTCCTGATTAATGTCAGAATGCCAGCTATTAATCTACATTCTACATCTACATAGGAATAGTGTAACTAAGTTTATGAATGTAGTAATAAGTAACAAACTATAATTTTAGGCCTTTAACATAACTGCATTTATTAGGCCTCCATTACACTTACAATGTAGAATATATTTTAATTTAATACGTAATATATAGTTTAGAGTTTAGAATAAATCAAAATGTTTCACTTTTTCAATGGAGAAGGGTTGGGGGGGGGGGGGTGGGGGGGCGATTTTCCAGTGGTTGAAAATTACTTACTTTAGAGCCTGGTAGGGTAGTGAAATGATACACAAAATTACTAGATCTAGATCTAGATCTAGATCTAGATCTAGGCCTACACTTGACACTACACAAGCTAATCAAATCTTAAGCAAAATTAATAAAATTAACCAAGAGATCTAGATATGAAGATAGCTACTAGAATCTGGATTTATACAGTGAGCTATGTTTTGCCTGACGGAAACCAGAATCAAGTTTGATACGGCGGCGGTAGCGCAGTTTCCGGCCCGAGATTTGACGGATATCGTAGTCCCTATACTAGTTACACACAGTTAGTCTAGCTAGCTCTTTTGAGAGTCTTTTGCCTCTCTAATCTGAGTAATCTCTAGCCCCTGAGAACTGATTCTAGAACTGATGATGTTTATTGTCATTGTCAGTCAATTAAATTGTTTAAAGAACAGAAGAAAAAAAAACGCATACTCTGTATTTTAAAACAAGACAATCGTATTTAACAGCAAACAGCAATACATTTTCATACAAATAGAAATTAAGGGGAAATGACTCAAAATAATACTTTCTTGAGATGACCGCTGTTTTTGATAGCAAATTTAGTATCCGGAACATCGTTGTTAAACCTTAATTTCGTTATATTTTTATTGATTTAGCCTTAAATTGTGATTTAATATTCAATTATCTTTAGTATTTTAATACAATATGCAAAAATATATTCATATTTTAGCCATATTCATTAGTTACTTTATCCCTACATTACTAGCACCGGCCGAATTGATTACGCTATACAACGATAGATTACCCAAAAATGAAAAAAATAAAAAGGACTTAGCCTAAACTAGTCTACTTATTTATTATACTAGCTAGAGCAAACAGAACAATGAGTAGCTGATGATTACTGTCTGTTTTGTTATCTTACTTTCTTATAATTAAGGCATGCCTTTATTGGCTCATAACGAACGTAGACAACTATCGCATCTTTTTCCGTATTGATGTCGCCATTTTGAAAACTGAGTCTCCAAACGGAGACATGACCTATTTACTCGAACCTGTCATAGGTCGAACAGGTAGGCCTAAGCATTGTAGGACAGGTAAAAAAAATTAATAGTCGATAAATTACAGATATTGAATGTCTTATAATATACACATAAAATTATATGCAATATATAAATAATGCATTGTAGTTTGTAATTCCATTCGTAATTGTTTAAAATGTAATTAATTTATTGAAAAGAATTTGAAAGAAACACCCAGTAGTTTTATCGTTACACATACCTCGTAACTAGGAAGTCTTTAAATATCAATAATCTCCCAAGATGGCAACCTTAATGGTCACATAGGTAAATACTATTTCTACTTTTATAATATTAAATAAGATAGATTCTATTTCGTAAATAAAATATTGGTTTGTATGTTGTCTTTTCAAATTAGAAATGGGTAGTATATTAAATCTTCTTATTATACTTAACAAGATCCATGTGTAAGTTATGATAATTAGGGCCAATTTCATTTTTAAATTTTTTTACCACGTTTTCTTTAATTTGCTTTCGCGTCTGTTTGTTTGTTTGTTTGTCTTTCCACCAAATCTTGCGATCAAAATTTCGGGCACTTCCCAGTTAGCTAGCGCGCTGAAATTTTCAGGGAAGCTTTGTTTCCGATGACAATACAATATTCAATTATTATTATTAAATTGATCCATGGAAACATTTTATTGATCATTTTAGACTCCTATTGATTTGTACAAAAAAAGACATAACCTAGTAATTGTAATTTGATAAAAACAAGGTTCGGTACTTTCCCTCTTCTGACTTAGATTACTTGGAGGCACCACATTACACACAACATTCAAGTTACCCATTCAACGAGATGGTAATTTTATCCTCTCTGAAATGCCAATGCTGACGGGTAACTATTTTAAAGTTATGAGACAGCAATGGAAAGATGTTGAATTTGTCTTCATCGATGAAATTTTAATGGTATCTTATGAAATACTGTGTATGATTGACTCTCGATTGAGACACCTAAAAAAGGAGCCCGAAAAAGTCTTTGGCGGAGTTAATGTAATTGTATTTGGCGATTTGATGCAATTACGCCCAATAAAGGCATCATTTGTATTTAAGCAGCCAGCCAGATTTCAGCCAGCTGTTCATCTTTGGCGTCTATTCAGTCTAGTCGAATTGACTGAAAATATGCGACAGCGCGGTGATACAACTTTCGCTGATCTCCTAAATGCATTACGAGTTGGCGAGCTCAAAGGTCCTCATTTCGAGCTCTTAACGTCGAAAACTCTTAAAGAGCCAACTGGAGAATTCGCACTAAATAAGGCAATCAGAATTTATCCGACAAGAAAAATGGTCGAGGATCACAATAATTCTGTTTTGCAATATTATCGATCGCAAGGCACTCGAATATACAAGATCGAGTCTCAGAATCGAATAATTGATTCTGGAAGAAACGCCGACAAAATCGACATGAGCAAAGTTGTATCCAACGATATAAATAAGACTGGAGGATCGCAAAAGGAAATGGAAATATTCCTCGGCGCTAAAGTAATGTTGAGAGCGAACATCATCGTTGAAAAGGGACTGGTTAATGGCGCAATCGGCAACATTACAGAAATTCATTGGCCAAATTTCAGACGCGACCAGATTCATTTTTTTGTCATAATGCGCAAGCAGTTTGCAATCGCTTATAGTAGAGTGATTGCTTGCATTATTGTGATATATAGCATTTATTTTCTACTTTTTTGTTCAATCAGAAAACGTGGGTTTTAAAATTTTTTTAATGATTATTATTTAGTGTTAGTTTTTTTTTTAATTTCTGATTATTTACTGTTTCAATGTAATGTGAATGTTGTAGTTTGTCGATCTAGTCTAGATTCGAAATTTTAAGCCCTATTATTTGTTAATTGCCAATTATTAATAAAATATAGTGATCATATTATATCACTAGAACTTCATTGATTTGATATCTATCCTATCTATCTATCTATCTATCTATCTATCTATCTATCTATCTATCTATCTATCTATCTATCTATCTATCTATCTATCTATCTATCTATCTATCTATCTATCTATCTATCTATCTATCTATCTATCTATCTATCTATCTATCTATCTATCTATCTATCTATCTATCTATCTATCTATCTATCTATCTATCTATCTATCTATCTATCTATCTATCTATCTATCTATCTATCTATCTATCTATCTATCTATCTATCTATCTATCTATCTATCTATCTATCTATCTATCTATCTATCTATCTATCTATCTATCTATCTATCTATCTATCTATCTATCTATCTATCTATCTATCTATCTATCTATCTATCTATCTATCTATCTATCTATCTATCTATCTATCTATCTATCTATCTATCTATCTATCTATCTATCTATCTATCTATCTATCTATCTATCTATCTATCTATCTATCTATCTATCTATCTATCTATCTATCTATCTATCTATCTATCTATCTATCTATCTATCTATCTATCTATCTATCTATCTATCTATCTATCTATCTATCTATCTATCTATCTATCTATCTATCTATCTATCTATCTATCTATCTATCTATCTATCTATCTATCTATCTATCTATCTATCTATCTATCTATCTATCTATCTATCTATCTATCTATCTATCTATCTATCTATCTACTATCTATCTATCTATCTATCTATCTATCTATCTATCTATCTATCTATCTATCTATCTATCTATCTATCTATCTATCTATCTATCTATCTATCTATCTATCTATCTATCTATCTATCTATCTATCTATCTATCTATCTATCTATCTATCTATCTATCTATCTATCTATCTATCTATCTATCTATCTATCTATCTATCTATCTATCTATCTATCTATCTATCTATCTATCTATCTATCTATCTATCTATCTATCTATCTATCTATCTATCTATCTATCTATCTATCTATCTATCTATCTATCTATCTATCTATCTATCTATCTATCTATCTATCTATCTATCTATCTATCTATCTATCTATCTATCTATCTATCTATCTATCTATCTATCTATCTATCTATCTATCTATCTATCTATCTATCTATCTATCTATCTATCTATCTATCTATCTATCTATCTATCTATCTATCTATCTATCTATCTATCTATCTATCTATCTATCTATCTATCTATCTATCTATCTATCTATCTATCTATCTATCTATCTATCTATCTATCTATCTATCTATCTATCTATCTATCTATCTATCTATCTATCTATCTATCTATCTATCTATCTATCTATCTATCTATCTATCTATCTATCTATCTATCTATCTATCTATCTATCTATCTATCTATCTATCTATCTATCTATCTATCTATCTATCTATCTATCTATCTATCTATCTATCTATCTATCTATCTATCTATCTATCTATCTATCTATCTATCTATCTATCTATCTATCTATCTATCTATCTATCTATCTATCTATCTATCTATCTATCTATCTATCTATCTATCTATCTATCTATCTATCTATCTATCTATCTATCTATCTATCTATCTATCTATCTATCTATCTATCTATCTATCTATCTATCTATCTATCTATCTATCTATCTATCTATCTATCTATCTATCTATCTATCTATCTATCTATCTATCTATCTATCTATCTATCTATCTATCTATCTATCTATCTATCTATCTATCTATCTATCTATCTATCTATCTATCTATCTATCTATCTATCTATCTATCTATCTATCTATCTATCTATCTATCTATCTATCTATCTATCTATCTATCTATCTATCTATCTATCTATCTATCTATCTATCTATCTATCTATCTATCTATCTATCTATCTATCTATCTATCTATCTATCTATCTATCTATCTATCTATCTATCTATCTATCTATCTATCTATCTATCTATCTATCTATCTATCTATCTATCTATCTATCTATCTATCTATCTATCTATCTATCTATCTATCTATCTATCTATCTATCTATCTATCTATCTATCTATCTATCTATCTATCTATCTATCTATCTATCTATCTATCTATCTATCTATCTATCTATCTATCTATCTATCTATCTATCTATCTATCTATCTATCTATCTATCTATCTATCTATCTATCTATCTATCTATCTATCTATCTATCTATCTATCTATCTATCTATCTATCTATCTATCTATCTATCTATCTATCTATCTATCTATCTATCTATCTATCTATCTATCTATCTATCTATCTATCTATCTATCTATCTATCTATCTATCTATCTATCTATCTATCTATCTATCTATCTATCTATCTATCTATCTATCTATCTATCTATCTATCTATCTATCTATCTATCTATCTATCTATCTATCTATCTATCTATCTATCTATCTATCTATCTATCTATCTATCTATCTATCTATCTATCTATCTATCTATCTATCTATCTATCTATCTATCTATCTATCTATCTATCTATCTATCTATCTATCTATCTATCTATCTATCTATCTATCTATCTATCTATCTATCTATCTATCTATCTATCTATCTATCTATCTATCTATCTATCTATCTATCTATCTATCTATCTATCTATCTATCTATCTATCTATCTATCTATCTATCTATCTATCTATCTATCTATCTATCTATCTATCTATCTATCTATCTATCTATCTATCTATCTATCTATCTATCTATCTATCTATCTATCTATCTATCTATCTATCTATCTATCTATCTATCTATCTATCTATCTATCTATCTATCTATCTATCTATCTATCTATCTATCTATCTATCTATCTATCTATCTATCTATCTATCTATCTATCTATCTATCTATCTATCTATCTATCTATCTATCTATCTATCTATCTATCTATCTATCTATCTATCTATCTATCTATCTATCTATCTATCTATCTATCTATCTATCTATCTATCTATCTATCTATCTATCTATCTATCTATCTATCTATCTATCTATCTATCTATCTATCTATCTATCTATCTATCTATCTATCTATCTAT